AAAAACGCACGTGCGCACACACAGATGTATAATTCATAACTTCATGTATCAAAAATAATAAACTCAGTGAGATACATTCATCATGATCATGGTTCACATATACACATTCTTCCATCACCTAGAGGGTTCTTTTCCTTTAAGCCTACAGTGCAGTGTGAATTCTCCTACAGGAAGACAATGCCTCACTTAAATAGCATGACTTAAAGTCCCCAAGCTCATACTGTCCAGGTCCCTTAGCCAATTCCTAAAATTGCCTACTCCATGTGATACTTGCTATGACCATCTACTGGTAAATTACCAAAACTAACCTAAGAAATTCTCCACAAAAAGACAATTTTCTAGTAAGAGCAGTGATTTGTGCTCATGAAGACCAATAGGTCAAATTCACTATTCTATATGCATGAAGCTACGAGGATCATCACTAAAACAGCTCCTCAGGGGAGTAGAATTGCTAGAATGTGTAACATAGGCTGTTGTACCAGTGAAACCCATTCCCGCACAATACAGTACAGACTTCATATTCTGAACAGGAAAATAAATTTGAACAAATACTAAGAATAAGATATGAAAGACCTGTAATAGTGTAACAGAAGAATCCAACTCGATGAGAGTTCCAGGTCCACAAACAAGGCAATCTTTGTCCCTGATAAAATCTGTTACTTTAATATGAGTTCCTTCCAGACCATTATACCTGAAGATGACAAAGAACGAATCAAACAAAAATGTGCATAGCATTCAATATGTACATCTTAACATAAGGGAATAAGAGAGAAGGTAATTTGTAGAATGAGTTCCTGCATCAAGTATGATAATTGCATTGAAGTTTGTTTCAACCTAGATAACAGAACTTTACAATATAATGGTCTGGAGTCAAAACTCCAGTGAAGCAAGGAAATACTACTTTCTAGTGCAAAGACAGTCAAATAAAATAGTGCCAATTTAACAAAAAATGTTATAGATTAATCCATAAACCGCCTAATGCCGAAAAATGTATGGATGTTGCTTATGAGTCAGGACAATAGCTAAAAAGCTAAACATGTAATGTTAAAATACAAGTTTGAAGAAGGTTGAAGAATACAATAAGAACATAATTTACGTGAGATAATTGGACAATGTTCTACTACAGCCAGAGACAAGCTTTAGGGCTTCCAGAGCACAGGCAGCAGACACAATAGCGTTTGTAGAAGCTATAGCAGGTATAATATTCTTCACAACACCCTGCACAAAAGAAAAATAACAGTTAAACTAATAAGTAAGCCATGTTTTTGTTATCAACAGCTTTAAATTTAAAAAATAATTCCAAAAATAACTTTAAGGAATATATTGAGTTAGCAACTTTTTTTTGTGTCCTCTAATACTTAAGAAGTTCGCAGCTGAGATTTGATCAAATCCTGTATGATATGATTGCTGATGATGAAAAAATAATTATCAGTTCTTGCTTCTTTATGTTCCGTCTATCTTCATATTGGAATTGAGAAAGAAGGCAGTACGAGAAGGAAATTATTTATACTGTATTCTTAGCATTTTAGTCAACTGTACAGGTCATACTCTAACATTTATACTTTTAGATCTTATCTCAAGTTAGGCATTTATTCTGTGACTATAAATTGGGCTCATCCCTTTGTGACCTTCCTCCGATATATGTCTCAAATAGAACATCTTAGTCCTTTACCTATCTAAACTGGGTCCAAACGTTTCTCCATCATCCTGCTACCACATGTAACAGAATTTTATTACTGAGTTTTATTTCTGATGGAGAAAAATAGGCTTCATGATTTACTCTTTTGTGTGGTGGAAGTGCTGGGTTACCATTCCTTCCACAATGTAAAGTGATTCTTTTTCTTTATTTCACTGATGAACAGTGTTACCAAGATACTCCTAACTCCGCACAAGGATGGGTGGTATTACAAAAGCCTTAGAAAGAAGGTCTAGAATGGATTTACAAAAGGAGAAAAGAAAGAAGTGTTAATTACTCCCATGCTGGGTTACAGTTCCTTCCACGATGTAGACTGATTTTTTGCTTTATTTTGCTGGTGGACAGTGTTAGCAAGAAACTCTAGTTCTCAGAACTTTTCATATGCCAAACACTCACATACACTGATGGATAGTATGACAAGAGCCTTCGGAAGAAGGTCTAGCAGGGATCTACAAGGGAGAGCAGAAGTGTTACCTTACTCACATGATCTTACAGACACATGGCATGCTTTTAGCCAATATCATCAGATAGGTATATAAGCAATGCTAATAGATAGGCATGCTTCTTTTGCAACCTATAGGCAATGCTAAATAGATAGTATGATGAAAGCCTCCAAAGGACGGTCTAGATATTACTCCCATGATCTTACAGACACGTGCCATGCATTTAGCCAAGCTCATCAGATAGCTAGATAAGCGATGCTAAATAGATAGGCATGCTTTTCTTACGATGTCAGTATCATTAGATAGGTAATTGATCCATGCTAAATAAAGCTTGTTTATTCTCAAAGTGTGGATCAATAACTCAAACAGCACATCCTGTGTCATGCAAAAAAGTTCTTGTGTCCATGATCTTATAACACTCTGATACTTGACACTTGTGTCTCGTGCGGCTGTGCCCATGTAACGACCGCTTATGAAGCATAGAATGTATTCTAGCAGAAGAGGAATTTCATAATGACACCCTCTCCCTCAGTCGCTCCCTCCCTCCCTCTTGTTTCTCTTCTTATTTTCTTTTCATTTTAAGTTTCAAGAACCAAGGCAGTTTAGTTCTGAAACTGAATGGAACTACTGTTTGTGAAAATTTTGTATTAAAAAAAATGAAGGAAAATTGATTTGTATTCCTTTGATCTCAATTACAATTGGATTTCCTGATTACAAAAGAAAGGAGAATGATCTGGATTCTCCCATTTGTTTACTTCTGGGTTCTTCACAGTAGCGATGGAGGATGGAGTGCCTCCTTCGAATGCTTGCGTCGAATTTGCTCTCCGTTGACGATCCGACCGTCTTGTCTCGTGGGAACAATTAACTTACGTGGTAAGTTTGTTGAATAACTCTTAACGAGTTTAAGAACTCAGAGCGAGTTGAAACTCTGTAACAGAGTTGTTAGAACCGAAAATTCGGTTAATAGCCAAGTAGATTTGCTGTTGCTGAAGGATCCTTCGAGATTTGATCTTCAAAATCTGGCTGAAATCTTCGATCTCCAAAGAATTCGCCCTTGATCTCCAGAAAATCCAACCTTGTGCGGTTTAGCTGCCACAATTTGCAACCCCTTTACTCGGTTAAATAAGACGGTTATTTATAGGAGGATAAGGGGTGTAACCAACCCCTAAATCCGCTCCTAAGTGGGCGAAAATCCCTCAAATCGTGGGGGAAACGGTTCTGAAACCGTTCGACTCGTGTTTGAATGAGTCAAATGCCCAATTTGACGTTTAGGACCCTAACTCCGCGTCTTAGAATTGAGACGCGGAGTTGGGTGTTGACCAAACGTCAAAAACGCGAGGGCCGCTCGCGTTTCGCTTGTTGCAACTTGAAAACGCGGGGGTCGCCTGCGTTTCAAGAATTGTAACGCGAAAATGAATTCCGCGTTTTAGAAAGGGTTAGCTGACTTGTAATCTCTTCTGTGAAGCGTTGCAAGGACCATTGTTCAGTAATACTCGCTTTAGCTGTTGTGGGGTGTGAAAGTTGTCAGATTGTAACTCTCACAGTCTATGTTGCCTTGGTACGTGTACGTGTACGGGTACGGGACACGACAAATTTGTAAAAAGTAGGGTACGGGGACACAGCTATATATATATAAAATAATTCGCTTTAGATCAATATTGAATTAAATAACTATTACATTTGCAAATATACCCAAAAATATGACAAACATCCCTCAAAATATTACAAGTATATTGTTTAAAGTTGCAAATATACCTCCAAAAGTTAGTTCTATATCCCAAAAACTTACAACTCACTCGCATATTCCAACAAAAGTTAAAACTATATTCCTTGCATAAGAAATAGAAAACTATTTTTACTTTAATTAAAATTTTAGAACTAATATTATTACTTATATAAACTCAAACCCAAACTCAAACCCCTCCCCATATAAAACCCAAATCCAAACCCCTCCCCCCTATATAAAACCCAAACCCAAACCCAAACCCCTCCCCATTTAAAAAACAAACGGGTTATGAAAAAAAACCAAACCCAAACCCAAACCCCTCACCCTATAAAACCATAACATCCCCCGTTCCTGTCTTCGTCGCCTCCCCCCATTCTCCTCTAATCTTCGTCGCCGCCTCTAATCTTCTTCGCCTCCTCCCATTTCTCCTCTAATCTTCGTCGCCTCCTCCCATTTCTCCTCGTCAATCTCTAGGGTTTCCCCAGTCCTCCATCAATGGCCCATCGCAAGACCGCTAGGGTTTCACTTCGAGGGATCGGCAAGTTCTCCCGCTCGAAACTGTACCACAAGCGAGGCCTGTGGGCGATTATGGCCTGCTGACGACGTGAATGCTCTCATCCCCAACCGCCGCAAGCTCAAGCCCACCAAGCTCAGGTATGGATTCTAGGGTTCCTGGGTTTAAAATTATGCATTGATTTTTCCCCCCACTCGGTCGTGTCCCTGCCGTTTGGGTGCGGATCCGTACCCAAAACGTACCCGACACGGGTACGAGACCAATTTGGCCGTGTCGGGGTAACATAGCTCACGGTTGATTGTAAAGACCACTGAATGGAGTTTTCATCAATTATCGGAAGCGTCGTTGAATTGTAACTCTTCTCGATCTATGTGAAAATTCCTCCATTTGCAGTTTTCATTTGTCGGCATGAAAATCATCTGATTGTAACTTTCATCATTGAAGCTTGATGGGGATTAGCTATCTATTGTGATTTTTAGACAGCCTACAACTACCAAAACCTCCTAATACAAATCAATCTAGGATGAGCCGTGAAACATTTCACGGACATGTTAAATTAACAAAACAATATTAAGGAGAAAATGTTGTCCGGCCCAAGGACTTGGAAAGAAGACTATAGAAACCTCTTCTTCACACTAATTAAGTGTACACTAATTAGGTGTATATGCATGTACAGTGTACTTATATGTGCTAGTATACTCATGAGGGAGTGTACACCAACTGGTGAATGTACAATTTGTACTAATGTATATGCACATGAGGGAATGTGCAACAATTAAGTGAATGTACGATTTGTGCTAATGTCTGTGCACATGAAGGAATCTACAACAATAAGTGAATGTACAATTTGTGCTAATGTATGTGCACACGAGGGTATGTGTGTAATGTACATGCATTCTCATAGAAGTCCTGATGAGGAAGTGACAGAAGGCTTCGATCTTAACATGACTCTAGATCGCTTGGTGAATCTGATCTGAGATGAGGACTGATGGAAATAGGTGAACAATGGGCTGCTGTTGGAGAATGCTTTAGCGTAATATGACAATAACGGGACAAAGGTTAGTGGCTGTCTGGACTGTTCAAGAGGTTGTTCGGTGAGTTTTGGGTCTGTTTTCTGGATCAGACATGGGTGGGGAATGACTGGAGGTTGTTGAAGGTTTGACAGCAATTAATGAGATCAGTAGGCTATTGAAGGAGGTGCTTGATAGTATGCGGAAATGTTGATTACAAGGATTTTTTTAGAAGTGGAAAGTTGTCTGGATGAGGGCTGCAGGAAACGAAAAACGAAGAATTGAAGTTTTTAGGAGGCAACAATTGATTTGTAGGAGATGTTAAATAAAAGCCTTCACCTCCAAGGGCTTCACACCAAAAGAACAGGCTTCAGAGATGTTAAATAAAAGCCTTCACCTCCAAGGGCTTCACACCAAAAGAATAGGCTTCACACTCATGACATTTCACATGCCAAACACAAGAACTTCACATGCTTAGATCGTCCTGCATCAAATGGATGTGTGCATGTACATACTTAAAAAGCCCAGATGAGTGTTTTTGTGTTTGTTTGTGCGTTACTCAACATGCTTGCAGAGATGCCAATTAACTGGACAAATAACACACCACCAAACCTTCATTAGTGTTAATAACAAGTCGCAAAGTAGAATAAACTGTAAACTGATAGCAAAGCAATGTACAAAAAAATCTGTTTCGAAATGCGTTATAACCCATTTCAACTACCATAGTCAAAGTGTTATACAACTCAAGCAAAAAACACATGATGCATTTAAAACAGAAAATAATGCCAAAAAAACACCTTTTATCTGTCTAACGTTAAGCATTAAATTGAGTTAAATTATATCAGATTTCGACGTGTGGCAACCACTGTCCAAATCAGTATCACCTTACCCAACTAAATTCCCAATTGAATACCCTGACCATAATTTCATTTGCGCGAAAAACCCTAGCGAACCCTTACCCCATTTCTAGTGCCTCCCACATCTCCTGCCCCTCCACCCGCTCCTTATCTCACGCCTTCGACAAAGAAGAAAACCTCTTCATATCTTCTCCCTCTCGCGCCTTCGATGAAGGCGAAGCCTCTTACTGATGAGTAGGCTCCTCTCGTCCTCTATCTCCGCCGACAACAAAANAAAAATCTCCTTTTGCCGCGAAAAACACATGATGCATTTAAAACAGAAAATAATGCCAAAAAACACCTTTTATCTGTCTTACGTTAAGCATTAAATTGAGTTAAATTGTATCAGATTTCAACGTGTGGCAACCACTGTCCAAATCAGTATCACCCTAACCCAACTAAATTCCCAATTGAATATCCTGACCGTAATTTCATTTGCGTGAAAAACCCTAGCGGACCCTGATCCCATTTCTAGTGCCTCCCACATCTCCCCCTCCACCTGCTCCTTGTCTCATGCCTTCAACAAAGAAGAAAACCTCTTCACCTCTTCTCCCTCTTGCCGGCCTTCGATGTAAGGCGAAGCCTTTCACTGTAGGATAGTCCTCATCGTCCTCTATCTCACGCCGACACAAATACAGCCTTCTTTACGGTTTTCTTCCTTGCCACCACCACCACCCCACCCCCCCTCAAAAAAAAATCCCCTCCCCCACTCTATATCCCCCCCACTTCACAAAAAAAATCTCCTTTTGCCGACAAAAAAAAAACTTTTAACTCCATCTTCACCTCTAGCACTTCTCCAGTTTTTAAGCCTAACTCCTCTCAACAAAGACTTCTAAACTCTAACTCCTTTAACTCTTCCAGTCTTCCCGCATGTTTGAAATTTTTGATGATTATAATTGTTTAAGTTATTATGAATAGTTTGTAGTGCAAAGTAGTTCAAGATAAAAAGTGACTGGAAAATCATTGATACCTGGGTAAGAGAATAAGTTACACCAGTAATACCAAAGAGCTCAGCTCTTTTAAGAGCCTGCATGAGATATGCGAATAAAAAGTTAAAATGGTGAAAAAATAGATTTAGTAAGCAAAAGAACTAACAGTTTCGGAATGCGTACTTCCGAGTAAACCCACTGCATATGCTCAGGATCGTCAGGATCAAAGGTCTTTCCATTATGTACCTATCCAGACATCATTACTGAATATGAAATCTCAAACCCTATCAAACCCCCCCCCCCCCCCAAAAAAAAAAGCAACTAGAGCAAGAAGAGAACATCAGTACCTCATCCCATTTGATCAAATGGGCATATTCAATACAATGGGCAGCAGTTCTTGGTGTTTCTGCAAGTGTGCATAATGGGAACTTCACTTGCGGGGGGAAAAGCCAAATGTTGCACTCGAAGCATGGTGTTGTTCCTGGCACAATTACTCTGGCATGACCTTTGAAACCTTCAGTTCCACCATCCACCATAGGTTTGATAGTTTCAGGTACTGGATTGTCATCAGGATCATACTCTAAAGAGTTTTCAAGACAATAAGAAAACCACATAAGAAACTGAACATACACAGCTATCACCTTTATATGTCCTTTTGTAGCACAATGAAATGATATATGAATATATTGAAACAGTTAGAAAAACATTTTGCAGAAATCTACATAAAAAACAGAAGATATATGTGCGATGTGCCATACAACTCTCTAAATCCACACACCAAATCAGTAGGAGAGATGTAAGTAGCCTAAGGGAACTTAAAGAAAGAAGGAATGAATTACACTCTTTTGCCTCCAATCAGCTTATAACAAAAAGGGATCAGTAAGTCTAAATTGTCCTAATATCTGTAATAGATCCGCACGAACTATGTGAATTCTTGGAAAACGAATTAAAGAATAATATTGCAAGGAAAAGTGAAAAATATAAGCTTCTACAATATATCCATGATACCAGCCTCAACCTTCTATTTAGAATAAGTAGCAGAGAAAAAAATCTTTACCGTCATTCGAATTGCAGTTAATGAATTGACCATAAACCCATCCCATTCAAGTGAGTGTACCATTATGTTTCTTTAATGAGACTCATGACCCTTTTGCGTAGAATACATGTCACGCTAATTTTTCAAAACCCTTAAAAAACCTTAAATGCAATTTAAATAATTTGTAGAGATGATTTGTTAATTCTTTTCAAATTAATTGGGACACTCTCAAGTTTCAAAAACGTTGTTTAAGCACAATGCATGTGACAGGGTATAATGGAAAACTACACTGGGGCTTTCAGACAATACCGGGAATACTTTAATGGAGGGTTAACTGCAAGTCACATATAGTACAAGGGTTTCCTAAGACTACCCCTTCTCTTAAGTTACCTGGAGAAGGAACTATAATGAATTTCAGTGATTTCTACTTCATTAATGCTGGGAAACAAGCATAAGCCAAAGCTATTAAAATCATGTTTCAAAAATTTCATGATCTTATTGGATCTTTTCTGTGTTTAGTGAACCTGTCTGCCCAAAATTATTCCTTAACCGAGCATCTAAATATTTCTGTAATTAGCAGACTCTATATCTTGCAGTCATCATAATGACTCTAAGTTTAAGCTTGAGCTGGTGTGCCTGAAAAGACATATCCTAGAAGATGTCTCCATGAATTCTTTGTTAGATGTAAGTATTAATATTGCTAAACGATTGAAACACGCTAATGATAGACACAACAGAACAAATTAAATTGTATGAGCTCTTATCCAAAAAGAGTAAAATTGAAGTGCTAAAAGATATGAAAATATAATCTAGTCTGCGGTCATGTATAATGTAATATTTTTTTTCAAGTGAAAAAAATATAAAAATATATTGATTGGAAATAAATAGTGAAAGAATGATAGCCATTCAAAGTATAGAAGCTAGAGCAATATACCTAGGAAACTACAAGCAACGGAATTTATGTAGCTCCGAGCCTCGATAGAATCAAGCCCAAGAACAATTATATTAAAATCACTGTAAAACTCTATGTCTTTGTCTTCGATCCTGCAAAAATGAGGTGTTATATTCACCCCACTAACTCTTTCCATTACTCGCTTCGCAGCTACTTCAGCCTTTGATTTCCCAACATCATGAATCCTACATTACCACATCCATAGATCGACAGAAAGAAATTATAAGCAAAACAAATAAGCAACTAATGAAGACAAAAGATGTCAAAAAACAACAAGGTAGATGTTTCTACAAAAAAAGGGGAAAAAATTCATGTGACTATTTGACGCATTCAGTAAATGGTTAGTGATTCAAATCAACTCCTCAAAAGAGTAAGACCAACTTAAAGAAAGGGGTCAATATTAGCATCAAGAAAAATAGAAATGATAAATGTATCAGGTACTATCATAATGTGAATTATAAGAAATAAGAAAAGTTTAAAGTTTAGACATTCACTACACTTGTTTATTAAGTTTTTAGTAGTGTGAAGGCAATCTATGTATATATGGCATTGAATGCTTCCCGAGGGTGATACATGTCATAAAAAAATAATAAAAACTACAGAACCTAGCGTTTTATATTTTAAACTAGTGGTGGACTATTGATTCCAGATGCTACACAGGATATGCAAGTAGATAATTTCATACAGCTCATCTGCCGCATTCGTTAAGTCATTGTCGTGTTATGGTATAGTCACAACAAGTTGTTGCTACCAGCTCAATTATGCTGTACAGTAACATGACTGCACCAAGTAATGAAGCTTCCATATGTTTCCAAACAGAAGAGGACCAACGTGCTCTATCAACTCACTGGGTTAAAAGCAAACACGTATTTGGTTTTAATCTCAAAGCAAGACAGAACATAACATACCGATCGTCGATCTTTTCAATTAACTACTCCTATCTGGAAATATTAGAAGAGTCGATCATGTTAAACTGATGTTTTGATATATATAAGCGTATAAGAGTGCGTCGTTAGCTCGACTTCTAAAACCATTGCATTATGTTGAATCTAACGACAGTTTGGTTTTGCTGCTCGAGCATATCATGAGAACCGCCGATTTGTACATATTTGTCAATTTGCTCAACATGTAAATTCAAGTAGCTCCTTATATCCACCAAGAGAAGAAATTTGTTTATTAGGGGGGCACGGAGGAATACCTGAAGAGAAACTGTCGGTTGAGGTTGGAGACCTCGATGGTGTCCATATCGATGACGTCGATGTTCTTGAACCCAGAAAGGGCCAGGTCTTTGAGCAGTTCGCAGCCGAGGCCACCGGCCCCAACCACCAAAACCCTAACCAATCCCCCAATCTCCTCCCTCAACTTCAATCATAAAAACATCGATTCAGTTGAATTTTTTTTTACTAAGGAGGAGAATAAGGGTGAAGATTTCACCATAAGAGAGCTTGTTTTGGGGGGAAGAAAGAAAGAAAGAACCTGAGGGCTGGGTTCGAAGCCAGGGGAGATTATGTTTCCAGGTCGAGCGAGGAGCTTGTCGATGTCTCTCCATCTCCCCATCTCCGTCATTCTTTCGAGCTGCTGCTGCTGCTACGGGGGCCAATAACCCCTAAAAAATGGATGGCCAAGGATCAAAGAAAAGAGAAGAAAGAAAAAACCTTTCTCCTCTATTTTACTTATTAGACCATCTCCAGTAGTGAAATTTCACCTACTCCTCTCCTGCCCCATTACTTTATTTAATTCAATAATCTTTATTTTCTTATCAACTTTACAGTAGGAGATTTTTCAGAAAGTTTTTTATTTTATTTGGGACCCACCATAAACCACATCACTTCAACATATATCCCACCATATTTATTCATTCTTTTTCCTATTTCATATATATTACTATTTTATTATTATTATTATTATTATTATTATAACTCATATATTTATAATTATATAATTTATTAATAATTCAATAAATAATATATAATATTTAAATATATATTATTAATTTAATTTTTAATAATAGGATAGTTTTTTGAATGATCCATGAAGAAATTAGCTTCAAATTGTAGAAAGAAGAAGAATAGGGTGTAGAAACTCATATTTTTTTTGGTGTCCAAATGACACAAAGTTAGTCTCTATTTATAGAGTTTGAAAAATAAAAATTAATGGTATAAAAATTATAAATTAATTCATTGTATTTATCTCAAAAAATATCAATTTAAAATAAGGAGGAAAACAAAAATGCTAACCCAATCAAATTTCGCCACGTGGCCCCTTCCCATCATGCGCGCGCGTGGGCTTGTCAGAAATGCCCGGGGTAAAATTTTTTACCCCTTGGCCTTCGTAATTTGATTCACCCCCAAAAGCCCCCTGCTGCAACCAAAAACCTCTTCAAAAAACCGCTGCCGGATATGGTCTTACTGCAAAGTCAGAAGATAAATAAATAAATAAATAAATCCACAATTTCTCCTCATAATTAAAGGGTTATTTGTATTTTGGTACCTTAGAGCTTACACATTTACGTTTGACACCATAAAGTTTTTTTATTTCCTTTGACTCTTTAATTAGGACCCAAAAGTTTACATCTTTGTTATCTTTGATGCCTCAGATTATTTTTGTCACGCTCTTATGTCTTATACACCAAAGTTTACACCCTTTTGATAATCCAAACTTTTGTTTAAACATATTATGGTGATTCTGGGGACTGTTATCAACATATGAAGCTTTGGGGACTACTATCAAAATGCTTATGAGTCAACTTTGAAGGGTCTAATATCTAAAAAGCCAAAGCACAAAGGAGGGTGAAGAGAGATTTTAAGGGTAAATTATATTGATATTCTTTTGACTTACCTCCTTTTATCATATTGGTAAAAAAAATAAAAAATTCCTTCCCCGGCATTGTT